TGTAACCGCGGCGTCCTGGCCAAATTTCCCATTGGCCCTTACCAATCATGGCCTCCTAATAATCCCCATCTATGAATTGGTTTCATTACTCTGCTCTCCTCCCCACTGATAGCTGATGTATGGTGAGTGTTCTGGCGCACTATGGCTGCCGTTGCATCATCCAGGTGGATGCTGCACATTGGTGGTAGTGGAATGGAGTCCTCATTAACTGTAAAGTGCTTTGAGTGGAGTGTCCAGAAAAGCGCTATATAAGTGTAAGTAATTATTATTATTAATCGTTATAAAACAAGAACCTTTGGATGGACCCATTTCACATGCGCTTTATTTTACCCTGTAGCGCTCTCCTGCTGGTCCAGGTAACTCATTTACGTAGTGAACACAACGCAGAGCTAGGACAGTGATTTTGGCGGGTTTGCATCTGCTACACTAGTTTGTATAAAATAAGAAAGAAAATGAATCAGTTTGTTGTAAGGGGTTAAAAACGACATGGGCCAGAAGAAGAAAATGTCAATAAAACAAATACAGACAATGAAACGTGCAAACAGAAAAAAAGAGTCGGGGCATCAGCGATGAGGAAAGGAAAGTACTGGAAGAATGAAGGAGCAAATTTGCCTTGATTGATAAGAGATTGGCAGCCTTTCTGTTTGCTTTGTAATAAAATTATTGGCGCTTGCAAAATGTACAATGTAAAAAGATATTTTGATACTACTCGCAAGAGTTTTGACCAGCAATACCAAGTGATAAGTCTCTCAAGATAAGTAATCTAGAAAAAGCTGCTATTGCTGAGCAGAAAATCATGCAAGCTACTTTAAAAGTGTCCCAAGTGGTGATGCTAGCCACGTTCAAAATGTCATGGCTACCCGCTAAACATGGCAAACAATTCAGTGATGGTGAACTAGTAAATTACTGTTTTCTTGAATCACAATGCCACTTTGAGGACTTGAGCAACAACAGAGAGATAATTCACAGGATAAAATGTTTACAGCTAAGCAATGACACAGTTACGTGATGAATTGCAGAAATGTCTGAGAACCTGACAGCACAGCTAAAGGATAAAGTAGCCGCTGCTTCTCCCTTAAGTTTAGCTGCAGATGAATCTGCGGATATATACATGTTTGAGAGACCTTCATCTGGAATCTCAACTTTGTTGTGCAGTCACACAATTAGAGCCCGACTACGTGGGTTTGGTCTCCTCCAGGCAGTATTAAGTATCCCATTCATGTGAGTACTATACTGTCAGAGTTAAGAATGTTAAGAATATATAGTGCCTTGCGAAAGTATTCGGCCCCCTTGAACTTTTCAACCTTTTGCCACATTTCAGGCTTCAAACATAAAGATATAATTTTTTTATTTTATGTGAAGAATCACCAACAAGTGGGACACAATTGTGAAGTGGAACGAAATCTATTGGATTTTTGAAACTTTTTTAACTAATAAAAAAAATGAAAAGTGGGGCGTGCAAAATTATTTGGCCCCCTTGCGTTAATACTTTGTAGAGCCACCTTTTGCTGCGATTACAGCTGCAAGTCGCTTGGGGTATGTCTCTATCAGTTTTGCACATCGAGAGACTGAAATTCTTGCCCATTCTTCCTTGCAAAACAGCTCGAGCTCAGTGAGGTTGGATGGAGAGCGTTTGTGAACAGCAGTTTTCAGCTCTTTCCACAGATTCTCGATTGGATTCAGGTCTGGACTTTGACTTGGCCATTCAAACACCTGGATACGTTTATTTGTGAACCATTCCTTTGTAGATTTTGCTGTATGTTTGGGATCATTGTCTTGTTGGAAGATAAATCTCCGTCCCAGTTTCAGGTCTTTTGCAGACTCCAACAGGTTTTCATCCAGAATGGTCCTGTATTTGGCTGCATCCATCTTCCCCTCAATTTTAACCATCTTCCCTGTCCCTGCTGAAGAACAGCAGGCCCAAACCATGATGCTGCCACCACCATGTTTGACAGTGGGGATGGTGTGTTGAGGGTGATGAGCTGTGTTGCTTTTACGCCAAACATATCGTTTTGCATTGTGGCCAAAAAGTTCGATTTTGGTTTCATCTGACCAGAGCACCTTCTTCCACATGTTTGGGGTGTCTCCCAGGTGGCTTGTGGCAAACTTTAGACGAGACTTTTTATGGATATCTTTGAGAAATGGCTTTCTTCTTGCCACTCTTCCATAAAGGCCAGATTTGTGCAGTGTAAGACTGATTGTTGTCCTATGGACAGACTCTCCCACCTCAGCTGTAGTTCTCTGCAGTTCATCCAGAGTGATCATGGGCCTCTTGGCTGCATCTCTGATCAGTCTTCTCCTTGTCTGAGCTGAAAGTTTAGAGGGACGGCCAGGTCTTGGTAGATTTGCAGTGGTCTGATACTCCTTCCATTTCAAGATGAGCGCTTGCACAGTGCTCCTTGGGATGTTTGAAGCTTGGGAAATCTTTTTGTATCCAAATCCGGCTTTAAACTTCTCCACAACAGTATTACGGACCTTCCTGGTGTGTTCCTTGGTCTTCATGATGCTCTCTGCGCTTTCAACAGAACCTTGAGACTATCACAGAGCAGGTGCATTTATACAGAGACTTGATTACACACAGGTGGATTCTATTTATCACCATCAGTCATTTAGGACAACATTGGATCATTCAGAGATCCTCGCTGAACTTCTGGAGTGAGTTTGCTGCACTGAAAGTAAAGGGGCCGAATAATTTTGCACACCCCACTTTTCATTTTTTTATTAGTTAAAAAAGTTTCAAAAATCCAATAGATTTCGTTCCACTTCACAATTGTGTCCCACTTGTTGGTGATTCTTCACATAAAATAAAAAAATTATATCTTTATGTTTGAAGCCTGAAATGTGGCAAAAGGTTGAAAAGTTCAAGGGGGCCGAATACTTTCGCAAGGCACTGTATATATTATATATAAGAAAATCCAGGGAGTAACTGCAGTGTACTTCAGTAGTAAATGTAGAGGTTGGAAAAGTTATGGTGTAGTGCACAAGGTTTCTTGAGAAATAGGATGTTTCGAAAGGAAGTCCTTCATCAGCTTTGCATGCAAAGTGCTTCTGAAGTTGCACAGCTGATGATGGACTTCCATCCGAAACATCCTATTTCTCAAGAAACCTTGTGTACTACACCATAACTTCCAACCTCTCTCTATGTATATATACACATGATTAATAGCTATTATGGATGCAGATAAGGTAGGCCTAGTTGTGATTAATACAGTTGCAAGAAAACGTTTTTGAACCCTTTGGAATTACCTGGATTTCTGCATTACTCATAAAAATGTGGTCTGATCCTCAACTAAGTCACAACAATAGACAGACAATCTGCTTAAACACACAAACAATTGTACTTCTTCTTGTCAGTACTGAACACATTGTTTAAACATTCACAGTCCAGGTTGGAAAAAGTATGTCAACTTCTAGCTAATTGGAGTCTGGTGTTCCAATCAATAAGATGAGATTGGAGGTGGGTTGGAGGTGCCCTGCCCTATAAAAAAGGCACACAAAGGCTGATTACTGATAGAGTCTGCTCTTTTCAAGAAAGAGGTGTTCATATGATCCATGCCCTGATCAAAAGAAATACAGACTGTAGGAGAAGAATTGTAGAGATGAATAAAGCTAGAAAAGGCTATAAAAGCATGTCTAAAGGCCTGGGTGTTCATCAGTCCACAGTAAGACAAATTGTCTACCAATGGAAGAAATTCAGTAATGTAAAGATCACGGCAAGACCGCAGCTTGCAATGCTGAAGGAGGTAAAAAAGAACTCAGTTGATAAAAAAGGTTGAGAACCACTGTTCTAGTGGCTGACAAACCTTGTTCTACAAAGCTGTAGTCTAGCAGGTCTTGTAGGTCTCCCTTAAATCATAATATGTAATTAATATATAAATAATAAGCTTCTCAAAATGCTTTACAGAATGACAATAATAAAACAACACAAGATATGCACAATGAGAGTAGATGGGGAGGACTGAATACAGTAGGGGGAGAGGGGTAAAAAAACATAACCAGTTAAGTAAAGGCTCTTCTAAAGAAGAAGGTTTTGAGTCTAGATTTTAAGGAGTTTAGAGAAGGTGACTCTGTGATATCTCTGGGGATAGAGTTCCGCAGCTTTGAGGCATAACAGGAGAAGTCCATGTCACCCATAGACTGTAGACGGGCTTGGGGGACAGATAGGAGTGAGGGGACCAGAGAAGTGAAGACTGCGAGGTGGGGAGTAGGACGATAGTAGCTCAGACAGGTACTGAGGTGCTGGGCTATACAGAGCCTTATAGGTGAGCAGGAGGATTTTTGAAGTAGACTCAAAACTTGATAGGAAGCCAGTGCAAGGACTCCCTCAGGAACACCACTTAAATCTGCCAAGAGAGACAAGGTTACAGTGATTAGTGAGTTAAGACCATCTGAGAGCAGTGCAAGAAACTCCAAACAGTCTCAAGACGAGAAAGTCTTGAGTCTACTTGCTCGTCTTAAGACTTTGGAGTTTCTTATACTGCTCTCAAATGGTTCAAGTCTTACCTCACTAATCCATGGCTAGTTAACAGTGTCAAAAGCAGCACTGATATCAAGAAGAAAAATGGTAGAAAGAGAACCAGAATCAGATGCTATTAGAAGGTCTTTAGTGACTTTGACCAGGGCAGTTTCTGTTCTGTGAAGTTGTCGGAAGCCAGACTGGAGGTGTTCAAAAAGGTTCATTGCAATGAAGTGTTTATTTAAGTGAATTGTAATAGCATGGTCTAGAATTTTCGGTTCTGGCTGAGACAGAATGCTGGTGCGTTTGGCTGCCGTTTCTCTCGCCTATTTTCATTTTTATCTACTTTTTTTTTCTCTGCCATCCTTGTCGATGCCGACCTAAAAAAATGTAATTTCTCTAACGTGCCTGGAACCCACTCCGCTCCCCCCTGGCTCCCCGAGACTGGCCAGATTAGCACTGCTGAACACCACCTCTGTGAACAATAAGGCTCTTCCCATATGTGACTATATTACAGAAATAAAATTGACTTTTTGTGCTTTACCGAAACCTGGGACAGACAAAATGATCTCCTATTCAACCAGTGTGTCCCTCCTGCGTGTGGGTTGTTCGACCTCCCTCATCTTTCAGGCAGAGATGGGGGCATTATTGTTAGCTATACAGTAATCTTCTTTACAATTCAAGTCTATGTTACTGTTCATCTTATCTCTTTTGAATGTCTTGTTTTAAATGTCTCTATTCCCCACTCTACATCATTGCCACAGTTTATAGACCACCTAAAGCTAATGAAACCTTTTTAGGGGAGTTTGCCGATTTACTTTCATTTTTATGCCTCAGATTTAGGAGGATCCTTATACATATTGCCTCATGGTCTTCCACTTTGGCTAAGGATTTTCTAGCTCTGTTGGGATGCTTTGTGATCATCAATTTGTAAAGACTTGGAACTCATGTGAGTTTTGATAAATTAATCAGCTTAAATGGCTGTTGCTTGTTTCACTTTCAAATACTCTGTGTAGTTAAAAGTGAGCAATTCACTTGAAGTGTAGAGAAAATACGGGACAGTGTCTCTTCTGGACTAGAGATGGTCACCCTGAGTCTACATGGTAATATCTGTTGCTAATGCAGCTACTTTATTGCACAGAGTTGTGGAGTGATGGAGCCTGCTGTTCACTAAATCTTCACAAAGAAAATGGATTACATTTTGGCATCTATTACCTTTTTCAGTCCTGGTCCTAAAGAGTCAGTGGTATCATTTGGTTTTCTATTCAGCTGAGTTCTGAATGCCATAATTGTGTAAATAAGTTAATTAAGAGTTACTTAACATGCTTTCTTGATCTCAGCTCATTGTCTAATAAAGAATGCAGGACTGGGTATGCAGATCCATGGCCTTCTTACAGAGTCTGGAGTTTAGACTAACAATATAATTATTGCTGTATCAAAATCAAATCAATTGATTTTATGATAGTTGTATTCTGCACCTACAGTTTAGATGGGCTGAAAAAATTAGATTATTTTTCTAGCTGAGTTTATAAACACCTCACATAATCTGTAATAACCAGAAGTCAAGAGACAGAATTTTCTCTTTAAAGCCTTTTATGAAATGTTTATTCCATGTTTAGTACAACATACTAAGCATTTTGACCAAGCACTAACCAGATAAGAAATTAAACATCAATACAAAACAAAAAATAAAAGAATGCTGTTTGGGGGGGAGGGCAAAAACATGAAAACCAAGCTTATTTTGTCATCTTAAAAAAAATCAAACCAAACGGCTTTAATAATGTACAATATAATGTTACTGCTTTTCGTGACCCATATATCTCATATAGAGCTGGTAGATGGAGACATTTAGACAGAATTGCCTAAACATTTTGCAGGTTATAATTTTGGCGGATGTTTAAAGTGTCTCGTAGCATCAGGTCCCGGAGACGCCAAAGGGCGTCTGCCATTGTAGTGTGAGCCCCCTTACTCTTCAGCCAGTGTGAGGGGAGACGGCTTTCCTGCTCTTTCGTCAAGTGTACGTCTTTCCTCCGAGCTGAGGGAACAGCATACATTATATCAAGCAGTCCAGCTGAATACTGAATACCATGTGGTGTTCATTTCATCACCACGCTTATTATCTATGATAGGAGCTCTAACAGTTTGCCTCTATATAGCACTGTTATTGCAAAAAGCATCACCTGCACTTTACACATAGGAGGGGACCCACTTACCCATCAGAGCTAGGGCTAGTCAGAATACTACTCTTATGAACTGTATTGTCATTCCTTGTTCACCAAGAACTTGAAATACTTGTTGACAAAGTACTTAGAACCCTGGTTTAACACCCAAACCAAAGGACTCCTATGGCAGTGTCTCATTTTCATACAGGTATAGAAATTCAGGTCCAGAGGAAGGGGCACATACTCCTCTAGCAATACCACTTACAGAAGCAATTTGGTGTAGGTACCAGTCTGGTTTAGCTTCTGAGACATGACTACATCTGTTAACAAGGTAATAATGTGCTGTGTGTTGTAGGTATTCCATTAAGCTGCTAATGTATTCAATACTAATAATCTAAACAACAAAATATACCAGTGGCAGTACTGTCATATATTTTTAATAGTATAAAGAAAGTCAGTATTTGAATTCACAAAGCTATTCAATGATCTCATGTCAAATGGTGCCTGTTTAAAGATAACAATAATCTAATGATAATGATAATGAATCTAGGATTTAAAAGTGAAACAAAAATCTAAAATATTTAACAAGCATTTTATTTTGTGCGCGGTTTAGTCTTGCATGAACTTCATCTCCAAGTGGGAACATGAAATTACATGTGCTCTTACCTGTAAGAGTGTGGTCCCATCTGCTCACTGTGCCAGACTCGGCACTGAGCCCCTCAATGTACTTCAGATAGGCCTCAGAGTGCAGCAGGCGCTGTGTCTTTGGAGGCGGAGCCACAAACATGGGAGTTGAAGGCTGCTGCAGAGCCGGTTGTCCTGGCTGACCCTGCCCTGGGTATGGAGGGGGTGCCTGCTGGCCCTGCCCGTGAATTCCCATCTGAAACAGTCAAATAAGCAGTGAGACCTTAAGCCTAAAATGTAGTTGGCTCCACATGATTTTAGGATAAGAGTATTTGAGAGAAAGAGAACCATAAAATTATTTGCTGAAGTGTAAGACTTTAGTAAGGAAACATGTTCACAAATGAAAGAACATATGTCTGTGACACATGATCTTGTGCTTTTTTAAATAAATGCATTAGCTGTTCTTTAAAAAGGTTTCATCATGGAGTTAAAACAGATAGTCTTTCATAAAGCTCATCACCTGCACCATAAAAAAAACTTTTAGCTTTTTGTTTTGCTGTATACAAGATGCTTCCACATTACACTTAATGACAACAAAGTGCATATTCCTGTAAAGTACAACGGTGCTTTTACATGCTCCACAGTGCAGTACTTTTAATATAAAATGTAGTCTGCACCCATTTTCACACTCAAACAGGTCATTGTTTGAGGACCCCATTCTCCACCTCGCAGACCCTCTTTGTCATTCAAGGACGCCAAGCGGCTCCACATCAACCACAGAGAGAGATCTTGCGTCTAACATGCACTCCAAACACAAGGATGCTTAGTTGGTTGGTCGTCCGCCAACTGTGCAACTAGTGCCTCCTATCTGTGAAACATCTCCTGCCCCAAACATAAGAATTCATGCACTGACTATGACTCCCCATACACAATACTGTGAACCTTACCCCTGCCTGAGGGAGCTCCTTTTGGCTGTACTTTTGGCGGTATGAAAGATGCTATTTAAGTACTTTCAAAGTGGGGCTTGGAAGGTGGGCCAATCTCTTAAACACCCATGTACCAGGATACGCTCCTAGACAACCTTTTCATGGTCTTATACATGGCATGGCAGATCATATAATTCTGAATTATCCAAAGATCAATATCCAAAGTGCACCTTTGTGGGCTTTCCAGTAACACATTCCAGTATGAGAGTCACCAATCCTCCCAGACTTCAGAAGTCTATAGATCTTGGCAGGCATCAGTGCCTATCTCCACAAGAGCAGTTGAGCAGCTGTCCATATCCATAATGTCAAGGCTCTGGGACCTGTGTCATTTTCTGCCCATCAAAGTCTTAGTAGCAAGTAGGCTGTAAGGTCATCAGCATGAACATTGTGTTTCCAGACAAACAGTGCTATATGTCATTGACACTTGTCCTGAAGGCATATTTGGTATCAGGAAAGAAGGGTGACCTTGGAGGAGCTCAGACACTACTTATAGCATAGATGGCACTCCATATAGGAGACCCCACTTAACATCTCCTGTCTTCTTTATGGCCAGAAACCCAAAGTGCTACTCTACCACTGTTGCCCAGTACTAAAGGAAAAATGTACTCATCCAGACAGAGAAAACTGAAGTACGTTAAGTTAAGTCAATCAAAAGAGAGGAGATTCTACCCTATTTCTCTGGGCACATAATTGTTTCCTGTCCCTTAAGGCCATTTGTCTACCCAGAGTGACCAATATGGTAGCAGACATATTATATAGAGGTAGGATGGACCCTTTGTTTCCGAGGAGTCTACAAACTTCACACTGTGGTTCTCCATCAAGAACAAGAAGCATCCTATAGGAAACTTGTTTCATGCTGATGCAGCAACTGTGGCAGATACCCATCCTTCAGGATCAACTAATCCAGTACCCCCTTGGGTCTGGAGCCAACACTGAGTCTTGCTCCTGAGCATCACAGACACTCAGGGCTAGGGTTGTCAGAATCTTCAACATCCCAATTGTTGAAGACTGCATTCTTTTTCAGGGGTCCAACCTTTTCATGATGCAGATATTAAGTTCAAAAGATGTTATAAGAACCTTTTCTTCAAACGGACTATTCTGTTCATGGCAAAGTTTACCTGCTGGCTGTAAGGATTTCCACCGCCGGGACTTCCTCCCATAGAGTTCACACCCTGGCCTATAACACCTACAGCAAAGGGCACAGCAGACATGGTTAGAGACAAAGAGCAATTACTTCTGGACCTAAAATCACACAATATTATGATACTGCAGCAACAGCAACTATACTGCATTTCCTACTATACTGGTACTGATATGTAAAAACACCTTGGTTAAGAAACTGTATAAGATAAATAAAATATATTCTGAAATGGCGATTTCTGAATGACCTAGACAGCAAAGTAGTCCCCCAAACACAGAGTGAGCTCTGGAATCCAATGTCATTCTCCAGTTGCCTGCAGGATTGTTGTGGTGTCTGTAATGGATGTGTCTCTAAGTGGCACTAGCCGTGATGCATGTGACTATGTTGTGTCTTGGACTGGTTCCATTGGAGTCTTCATTTCCTCTTTCATCTAGAGTGTAGCCACGGGGTTCAATGTCATGTGCCAATCTGTGGAAAATCTATCAAAATTGAGTACTGAAGAAGAAGTAGCAGCTGCAAAAATATTTTAAAAATATTTCTGTAAATCAAAGTTTGTCCTTAGGAATGGCAAAAGAATGGTTAATGGACAATGCATGCACACATCCTACAGTATAGTCTTTTTATTCATAGGATAAATTCACAATCTATTTGTTGAGCCTTTGGCCCAGCTGGTCAATAGTTACAACTGCAGAGGGTAAATGAAGAGCAAGGATACATCTTACTCAATTAATGGAACACATTATAAACTTCAGACCCGAATGTCCTCAATCCACACTACTGTTTCAAACAAAGAATCACAGAAAAAAATAATAGCATTTTGCTGTTGGTTCTATCAATGGCTCCTGTTTTTTAAATCTGTAAGAAGAATGCTGTAACTCCAGTTTTTCAATGGGCATTCAAAGCTTAAAATAAAAGATTATAGAGCATTATTAGCAATGCCTTTTCACATGCCTTTGATGAGTTTATCCATTCATTATCAAAGAGCTGTTCAATCCTAACGAGAGCTGCTGTAACCCAGAAGCACAGGACGCAAGCTGGGACGCCACCTTGGATGGACATCAGTTCATTGCAGGTACACACAGGGATAATTTAGAGACAAAGATTAAACCTAGTCAGCATGTCTTTTGGCAGTGGGAGGAATCCGGAGAAGGTGGATAATATAATCCATGTAACTCTGGGAGAACATGCAAACTCCACACAGATGGCACCTCAATCCAGAAACAAACCCAGAAACCAAGGATCAAACCACAATACCACCCACTAGAAGAGTACATGTAGCAATCAAAACAAATTACTTCTGAATAACAAAGATTTGTCTTTTATGCTTTTGGAAATTTAGATCACTTTATTAGCCACATACAATTTCTTGCATTAGGAATTTGTCTTTTCACATACTCTAGCTTGCTCTCCATGAGACATACAGACAACAAAGACAGGGAGAGAGAAGCTTGGGGTCAGAGCGCAGGGTCAGCCATTTATACAGCGCCCCTGGAGCAGTTGGGGTTAAGGGCCTTGCTCGGGGGCCCAATGAAGTAGAATTCCTCTGCCGGCCACGGGATACGAACTGGCAACCTTCCAGCCACAAGTGCAGATCCTTAGCCACAGGGCCTCCGCTCTGCCCAACCTTATTATAGGTCTCCATTAAGTTGAATGTGCTAGTCTAAACAACTGCAATTTACAAAGCTGTGACTTAAAGATTTATTAGTACAGTAAGTCTACATTACAGGAAGCCCCTAACAGAGGTTTTAAAAAGAGAGGTAGAAGAAGCAACCTCCTGGTGAAAATGATTATGTCCTTACCAGAGAATGGGATGCCTGGGATTACTGGCATACCTGGAGGAAGATGGTGGGTTAAAGGAGGTACCCCCATGTGATGTGGCTGCATGCTGCCCATACTGACCATGCCGTCAACTGAGCCCTGTAAGGGCAGCATAGGTGGCCCAAAGCCACCCATCATGCCTTGAGGGACAACACAACAAATCCATGCATCAGTACCATGCACTCACTATCAAAAGTCATGCACTAGAAACAAAGATAACAGAAGTTAAAATATGGTTAGTGCGTAAGATGAACAGACTTGTTAGCTGTAACATAAGTTAGCAAAAAAATCAACACAAAGGTTAAAAACATGATTACTTTATGCACATGCTGTTGATGATATAAAAAAGGAAATGGTTGTCACTCAAATTTCAAATGGTGAAAATGACAACATGTAGCATTAAACTGTTTATTTGGGTGATGTGACAGCTGTGGGACCTTAAGAGGACATAATTAAAAGACACTAGAGATGGGCATTTCACCTGAGGATACAGAAGCAAGTAGACTCGGGAAAACCTTGTGAGCAGTTTAGCCTGATCCTTTAAGGTAAAGGGTGCAGCCGTGTTAGTGAGTGGTTACCTGACCCAGGAGTTATGTTCTGATTAAGCATTCCCATTGGTGTTGGTGGGGGCACCACACCCATGAGTGCCCCAACAGGGGTACCAGCTCTAGGTGAAGCTCCCTGCTGCTGTTGGGCTGCACGCTCTCTTTCCTGCTGTTCTGCAACTTTGGCTGCCCGCTCTGTAAAGCGTATGAGAAAGACAGTGACCTCACATAATCAACAATCATACATTTTAACATTCTACATAAGCAGCTGTAGTAGGTTCGCAAGTGTGTGGCTTCCTTCACTTTGGAAGTCAGCTGGCTGCAGGCTCCATTTACCTTCGTACTCAGCTTTCTTGGTTGCCTCCAAGTTTCTCCATTCAGTGCCTACCAAGCGACTCAGCTCTCCAAAAGAAAAGTCTGGGTGCTGGGCCTTTATCACTGCTCTCATCTCGCTGCTGAACAGGATGTACCCACTCATGTTGATTTTCCTTTTAGATCCCTCCTTCTTTACACTGCCTTTTATAGACTTCGGAGTTGACTAGTTCCAAGAGAAAAAAGGAGATCAGCTCAATGTCTGTACAGTTCTAAATGTCTTGAAGCAAATTAAGTCATTTTTCAAAAGCATAGATGATCAACACATTCCCTCACAACTAACTTTGCAGATGCTGCATGTGTACTGATGTGGACACAAACACACAACAAGAAGTAAACCAGTAATCTTTGAATGCAAGCATGACTACATTGTGGAAAAAAAGCTTTTGAGGTATCCTTAGATAAGACACTCACCTGAGGAGGGGTATAGGGCATGATATCCAATTCACTGGCTAATGGGGTTTGTAACTGTGGCATGGAAGGGGTCTCTGTCACCTCTCCATCCTCTTCCCCTATCTCCTCCATCTCATCTTCAACTCCTTCCAGTTCTGCAAACTTGGCCTCCAGTTCCTGGATCTTCTTCTCTAGCAGAGGAGACGGCTCTTTCTGAGGCACAATCGGCTTCCTGTCGGGCAAAGAGGAAACCATCTGTCACTACAATATATGGCACAACACAACATCAACACAACTTACATAACACCAGAAATGCACTTGGACTGGATAAGCTGGCCCATAGCACATCTTATTTAAAAAAAAAATCACAATTTTAAACACAACAAAAATGCAATGTAAAACACTGGCCCAGTGCTCATTGGTTGGCCATTGGTCACCAGTAACTTAAACCTGGAATTATACCTTTTGCCCAATTGTTACTTGAGACTATCTACTGATTTCAGTTACATGGGACTCAAACCCCTCAGTTTATTTCATGAATGGACTAGCTCTGGATGGTTTTAAATCTAAAACACGGTTCTCCCTTTCTGTGTAACTGATGTTGATGTTGGTTCTGTTTTTAATTATGCAAAACATGTAAGGTTTCCATTTAGTAAATGAGACCCCAGCCAGAAATAAAATCCACAAAGAGGTCCTAGAGAATAGAATTGGGAAACTTTTGAAGTTCCAAACTTAATGCTTCCTACAGATGCTAAAAAAACCTGAGCCTGTGTCTCACTGAAGCCTGGACCATTAAAGTACACTCTGTTACCAGATGATTCACAGGAAAATAAAAAGAGAAAGCTATTACAATAGAAGGGTCACTAGAACATTGAGTTATAGAAGTGTATACTGTGAACAGTATTACTTCTTGACAACTGAAGGCATAAAGAAGACAAACAAAAATATAGATTTGAAGGCTGAGTCTACTGCACACCTACACTTCAGTCTTAACCAGAAAAACACCATCTAATGGAGTGCATTGAGCTAAAACATCAGCAGCAAAGACCATATCTGATTATTGCCACCAAAGTACAAACATGCTGCAGGTAATCTAAGTGAAACTGGTATGAAGATTTTCACAGCTTTTAAAGATTTTGTTGATGAATACTAATACTGAAATAGAAATGTATATACAGTACCTTACAAATATATTTTGGCAGCAAAATAAAAACAATTTATTGATTTACAGACATGCAATTTGTATTTATGGTCAAGAGATTAAAATGAACTATCTTCAATATAATAAGATTATTTCAGGGTACTTTCGTGCATACCTTTGATTATATTAGAACAAGAATACACTTTGTGGTAGTTGTATTAGAGTTTTCCTTGACAGCTCTCATCATTTTTTCATCATTAACTGCAGAAGCTTTTCTTTTTGGATTACAGTCTAAGATGATTGGTAATTATACCTGAGGTTTCTTTGTTTTTCAGTACATTCTACATTGTTGATTTTATATGCCCGATTACCATGCTCTGTTTCTGAAAACATCAGAAACATTTTTTCCTGCTTTTATTTAACCAAAAATCTGGATTTCATTTTTACTTTTGACTCCAAACACTAAAGGCAATGCAAGACAGATTCACAGATCTTCATGAGTCCAATTACCCAACAAAAAACATCTGAGCAGCAAGAGACATTCTTACATACAAAATAAATAGGTTTAATACTGTCCGTTTAATTTAAACAGTACAACTGAAAAGGTTTTACTAAAAATAAAATACTTAGTAGCTGTACATATCAACAATATAGGCCAGAATTGTTGGATACTTAAACATGTATATTGATGAATATTAAATTAAAAAATGCCATAATTATACATAACACTTATAATGGTAAACTCACAGCCATATTGAGCAGTAAGTTTTTTTAACCCCTATTACATACATGTTCTGATATTTAAGAGAGGTGTGTCATCAGATGATTGATAAAGTATTTTAATCTCAGGCATAATGTTACACAGCCCATTTTAGCTGCTCACCTAAAATAATAGATTTCATCATCAACCACTTTGGCAGAGAGGGAGAACCGCTTCAGCCCCTTAAACTTCTTCATCTGCTTATCCGTATCATTGTAGCGACTCTCACAGAGTAGGACATCATCCTCTGACACTTCCGTGGGCCGACAGGAGAGATAATCCTTAAACGAAGACACCACACACTTCCCTGGGGAGAGGGGTGGAGAAACATCAGTGACAATCTATCCAGACTCATAATAGTGGATATAGTTATGTACACAAGGAACAAGAAGGTATATTGTATACATTATACATAACATATCGCCATTCTTTTTCTAAAAAAAAATAGTGGTACTATTATTATAATACTATGTTCCCTAGTATTATACCAATAGTTGCCGGAACAGCCTTCAGGAAGTGATACCCTCTATGAGGCCTATATATGTGTAAGCAATGATATCAATGTAGTGTTTTAAATATGTACCATTACTCCTAGGAAAGAAAACTCTGACAAGTGCATAGAAATAAACATTTTAGCTATTGAAGGTAGGTCCCATCGACAGACTGCAGCTCAACTTTGTGTTTCATCTAGTGCTGTGTGTTTTACATCTGGGGAGTGACTACTCTTGAGAAGAACTCCTAAACAGATGTCAAGTTTTTCAGGAGAAATATTTATTAATATGATGGTCCAATATGGATCTTGGGAATGACTCACTGCAAGTGAAAGAGATAATGTTTTTCAAGAACAGCAAGATACACATTAGTACAACATGGTCTTTGTGAACCTGTAGCCGATAAGAGGAGAGAACAAACAAAATGAGTAAAATGGTGGGATGACCAAACCTGAAAATGATGTTAAAGATCAGTTCAAGTTTGAGCTGTCTGGCAATAATCAATGCTAGCTTTTTTAATACGAAATGCAGGGTAAAATAATCTGTGTGCAACGGCTACAGTGAGGCATGGGGTAGATCAGTGTGGGGCTGCATCTGACCCAAGGCTATTAGATTTTATTATAAAAAACAAGGGTTCCTTCACTGCTGAGGGGCACAAGCATGCTTTGATCCAGAATACAACTCCCTGAGGAATGCTTCTTATAGGGCAGGGATTCATCTTCTTCAAGACTAAAACCCCAAATACACAGCCGATGTGGTGAAAAACTATCTGGAATATAAGGATGACTAACAAAGATGCCTTCACCTGTCTGCTGTCCTGATATGAGCATTAGAGGCCATAAGGGGGTTTACACAGATGGATTTATGGCAATGAAGCAATGTGGATGAATTGTGTTTCCAGGATTTTGGAACTCCATTCCATAGCCCTGAAGTAAGATACAAGATGTGAAGACGAGGCTAATTTTAAGTCCTTTCTGCATGAAGATTAGACTTCTAAGGCTGGAGTTTATGGCAGGAAGGGGGTTAACTGATGAGGATTCCAGATGCCAGCTAGGAAAACCCCTGGGGACGTAATCCCTGACCATTTGGCCAAAAGGCTGTAATCTGGCGAAACACATTACCTCCCCACTTTACCATAATAACAAGTGACATCAGAAGCGTCAGGAAAACCGTATATAAACTGGAAGTTTGTACCGGCACTTGGAACAATACTTCTGTTTTGTTGTTTCTTGCACGAAACAAGACTTCGGTTCTATTGTTCCTTGCATGCAATAAACTCATCTGTTTAACTTCATTTCGCGATCCAGAACCTTATTCTTTCTGTTACAACAGCCCTTTACCAATAAATTGGGTTTTAGCATGAGAACATGTTAAGGATCTGTAGAAAGCAAAGGCTCCTCCATTTACGAGGCAATTAATCTGTCTTTGTATATTTTCTGTAATAATACATTGCATGCACATATTATTCATGTTTATACTTATTTGCAACATATACCTGGTTTTCCCTTTGTATCCATAATCAATACAAAATGTGACCTTAACTTTTGAAATAAACTCCAGTCTTTTTGGTGTAGGTGAGTAATTAATACTATGTAAAGGACAGTTTTAATAAGGCTGCAATTCTAAAACTGTTAAAGAAAAAAGGTAGGACTCTATGATCTATGAGAGGTACGCTGCTGGCTAAGCACTGTTGAAGACAGAGCCACCATGTTCTTGGCTCCCAGCAAAAAGTCACCACTGAATTTCCAGCAAGTCTCTGCGGAGCTTGGAATTAGTCAAAAAATATGACCAATTTGGGCACACTGGTATCACTTGCAGTGCTGTGAAAAAGTAAGTACACCCCATTAAAAGGTGTGTGTTTTTCAACATATTTGCATGTATCGATATTTGATCTTCATTTCAACAATACTGATAGATAAAGGTGATCTCATTTAACAAATAACAATTAAAAGTATTCTTTGCAATCATGTATTCAACAAAATAAGTCAGAAATGCAATTGTCTTTTGTGGAAAAAATAAATAAACCCCCTAGCTACAATAGCTGGTGTTGCCCCCTTTGGCAGAAATCACTTCTTGAAGGCATTTCTTGTAATTGTCTATCAGTCTCCTACATCAACTTGGAGAAATATCTGCCAGTGGTTTTAAATTTTCTCCATTCGTAGATGATCATTCAGACAGTGGAGTGATTGGCTACAAATTGCTTGGAAATTACTTTAAAACCCTACCCAGACTCACTGGCATCAACAATATATCTTCTGAGGGCCTCAAAGAGCTGTTTTGATCTTGGCATGATATAGCCACAAACCTCAATTGCTAAGACCAAACCAGACTGCAGGTTTCTGATGTTTATATAAGGCAGTTCCCTCCAAGTTACTCTCTAATGATGTTCTAATTATTTGCACCTGTTTTGGTGTACCTGATTCCAATTTTAGGAATTTCAATGCAATGATAAAAGCAGGGGTGTACTAACTTTTTCCCCACAAGGAAATTGCATTTCTGTTGATTTAAATATTAGTGGGACAAATTAGTGAAAAATGTGATGTTTCAATGTTATTTTTTAAAATTAGATCACCTTTATCTATCAGTACTGTTGAAATGACAATCAAATATCCTTTTGTCCAAAAATGTAAAAAAAAGACAAACCTTTTCATGACGTGTACTTACTTTTTCACACCACTGTATTGTGCCTTGGGATCACATCAAATTGGGTATGTGTATGGAAAAAATAACTGGAGAATGTAAAAAAAGCCCTCTGAATTCAAATCGATTCCCTAGTACCTATTGGACCTAATGCAGAATACCTATTACGCAGGCCATAGGGCAGGTTTCCTCCAGGTTACTCAAGAACACCTCCTTCTTGTAAAACATTTTTGTTGGCTCATGCTCCGTCTCTTCTGGGTGGATAAAGATAGGTCCTAAAAAGTATGCAGCACCATCACGAACCCACATCTTCTCAATCCTACAGTTGGAAAGGGAAATTCAAAGTCACTACTAAACAAACCACATAAAAGCAAACATTTTCTAAAAAAATGATAAGATATGCAAAAAAGCAACAAATAAGAGATTGATACATTATAGTGCAATTCCAAAACCAATGTCTGTACACCCACAGAATATAAATCCATCAGTCACCCAGGTGCGTGGACAGCCATACCTTCCTACTCTGTGGCGCACTAAGCCATGCGACTTGATGAACACACAGTCACCCACTTTCAACCACATGTCATTATAATGCAGCTGTTCGTAATACTGGCAACCCGGCTCCCCACTGGGCATTTCTACTGGTACATCTTCTCTCTCCTAGAAACAGATATTAACAGGGACAAGTAACACCTCAGTGCTGTTTATTGTGCATCTTGATTTTCAACTTTAATCCTGTAGTATTCAAGATAGGTACAGAAACATTTCTTAATACTTATTAATTTCTAAATATACACAGCTCATTTTGAATTACCTATTGCTTCTCAATGTCTTAGCTCACAGCAACGACTCACTGTGAAATCCATGATGTCTTATGGCAGACTCTGGATGACCACATATCTCACTGATGTTAATGGAGGTCTGCAGGTGCCCAAGTGCCCAACAGACAGGCACTCTGTTGAGAGTAATTCTAACTGACTAGTTGAATCTGGATCAAGTGACAAGTAACTTGACCCAGGTCTAACATAATGTCTGACCCACAGAACTCAGCCTGTGAACAGGGTAAGTATCTTTTCTAGAAAAACAGCAACCTCTTAAAAACATAGTATTATTTTAGTTAGTAACATAGGGCTTTTCAAAGACAAAACTATAATTACTGAAATTCTGTATAGCAATTATGCATTTTCATGCATTCAAATTAGACAGCTAATGATTTTGTTTCTTACAATAATACTTTGAAGGACATTAGGTATGTTCTATGTAGCATGCACTTTTATCTTACAGCCAATACTGACCTTATCGATGATCCCTTTAGCATCCACTCCTCTACCTTCCTCGGCCATTTCAGGAGTTTTTTCCTGTTCATGTTTTGTAGCATTAGCAAACATTGAAGCCACTCGCACAACAGGCAAGGGCACATCCCGAGGGACAAACCTCACAGAACTGACTGGCATGGTCCACATTTTGATTTTCTTAAAGGATTTTGTCTTGGCTGAGTAACGGGACTCGCAGACAAACACATCCTCTGGCCTGAAGCCCTCTGGGTGTAGCTTAAAGTACTCCTTTAAAGGACAGAAATGCTCTGGTGTTATTAACACTTAAGAAGAAATTGAAATGTAAATAGGCACGTTTTAATTAAAATTAAGCAATTTTAAAATTCCTAAATT